AAAGTAGGTTGCATGTGAACTTAGGAATTGTTTTCTAGTTTATTTGTTTTACCTAAAACCCATCAATATATATATATATATATATATATATATATATACACACACACACACACACACATAAAACTTGTGCCCGCGCAAAACGGCGACAGTAAATAGCTCTTTTGACAAATAGTCTGTTACAGGGAAATAATTATAAGATTTTATTATTATTTATTTCGTAATAAAAAGTTTTCACTTTTAAATAAAATATTTATGTTTATACCTTATATTTATATTGTCTGTTTATACTATTGATGTAAATTAATTAATATTGGTATCTAATTTAAGAAATGTAAATTAATTTAAATTAATGAATTTAATATTTTAAAATTTTCATTTTGCTTCATATTGAATTTCTTAATAACCTTCTTAAATTCAAGTCTTCAAACTTTTGGCAAAGTATTAATGAATTATTTATGCATAATTGATTTGTACAAATAGCTTTGTTATTTATACCTCTTAAATTTCAAAATATAATTGATATGCTTTATAATATATATATATATATATATATATATATATATATAACCATTGGATTAAAAAAAAAAGATTTTAGCCGTTGGCCAATTAGAGCAGGAAAAAGAACGTAGGGTACCTTCATCGTACCTAAATCGCATCCAGGGTTGGTGTTCCCTGATGCGGTGAAAAGCCTAGGCCATCAAATTGCATGGTGTCGGGTTACTATACCTTTAAACATTATATAAGAGAGACCGAGAGTAAGTTTATGTCCTACCTTGTTCCTCATTTTTTTGATAGGATAAAAAAGTTGCACTTATTATCCCATTGACATGGTCAAATAGATACAAAACATACCACAATATGTTCAATTCTCTCCGATGTAAGAATCAAGATGTTTAGAATGTTTTTTTATATGTGAGAAAGACAACTAGAGAGAATATACACTCTTCTAGGGCAATTTTCTATGTTGAGTTTCATTTGCTAGAAATTAAAAACAAGTACATGTCCCATCTTTTTGTCTAAGAAAATCAATTTTATCACATTGACATGAGTATCGGTGAATGTCAAACGTAGTACAACCATTTTTTGTCCTAAATAATATAAATGTTACACCACCATCAAGATGGTCTAGCGATGATCATTTGAGATTTAACACTCCAAAATGGAATGGTCTGAGGTTCAAATCTCACAAGCTTCAACTTTAAGAGGACATGCCGTTCAAAAAAATAATGTGAATATCATGTTAAATAATTTGGACGGTGGTAAATATTACATTCCATGTTATGAAAACATAATAAACTCTAATATTCAAATTAAAATATTTGAAAATAAGTCACCAAGATAGATGTGTATTTCACAAAAATAGTGGTCTCGGGTTGAAATCTCACAAGTTTCAATCTTAAAAAGTCTAAATATCTTCACATAAAATATTAACGGTAGGTAACATAGATGTGCATTTCACATCATATTATCCTATATTGGCGTTAAAACTTTTTGAAAAAATACTGGTAGATGCATATTTGTTGTTATCTAACAATAAAGTTCATCTTCAATGCAATTTGGATTTGTTAAAGGACTAAATAGTAAATAAATATCTGGTGCGAAGTCAAACAAAAATGTGGAAGAACCACACACGCAAAGAAGGAAAGGATGATGCTAAGCTACGGCGCGTCTACGTCATCTTTCCTTCTTCCTCACACCGTGACGTTCTGTACTTACAACTCTCAATCTCATCATCCTACCACCACACACGGTGGTGAATCGCATCCGGTGGTAACAAGACGAACTTTATCTCTTCTCGCAACAGCAACGGCGACGGTGACCGCTGCAGCGTTTTCAGTTCCAATTTTGTTTTGCGACTCTTCCGTTCATTGCTCAGAATCCGCCGCCGCCGCAGCTACTCCTCAATTCTCCGAACTACCTGAATCTGGAGGTGTGAAGGCGCTGGATCTTCGAATTGGTGATGGCGATTCTCCCGTCAATGGCGATCAGGTTTCACCTTTACTTTGCTTTTTTCTGAATTCATTCCGAGATTATTTTTTTCTTTTCAAACTGCTGATAAAGTTCCTACACAGGTTGCGATTCATTACTACGGACGATTAGCTGCTAAGCAGGGATGGCGCTTTGATTCAACATACGACCACAAAGATGAAACCGGTGAACCACTTCCCTTCATCTTCACTGTTGGTTCAGGCAAAGTAAGTATCAGTCGATTTCTCTTTCTATTTGATTCTGTTCGATTACTGGTGATTTCAACAGTGATTTGTTAACCTAATTCAGGTGATATCAGGGATTGAAGCAGCTGTTAGATCCATGAAAGTGGGAGGTATTCGTCGTGTCGTCATCCCTCCATCAGAAGGATATCAAAACATGTCTCAGGAGCCCATTCCACCAGATGTAAGCTTTCCAAACCCATAATAGCAATATCTACTTCGTTATTATTATGAGTAGAAATAAAATACATTGCTATTATTGATAAAAAAAATGTAAGTATGTTGACTTATTTATCGTTTTTTTTTTGTTTTTTGTTTTTTGTTGTTGTTTTTTTTTTTTTTTTTTTCTTTTAAGTTTTTTGATAGGCAAAGGCTGTTCACTACCATTTTTAATCCTACACGACTTGCAAATGGAGAAGGCTCTACCTTGGGGATTCTCATTTTTGACATTGAACTTGTCAATGTAAAGCACCTTTAAATTGGCGAGTCTCGTTGTAATTTAGTTTGAAAATTGTATATTTATGTATATTCCTGCTAAGTTCAGGGAGCATTTTGTTAAAAAATTGTATATTTGTGTATACGTAAGTTTCAATGTGTAGACGTAGGTTTCAATATGTGGTATAGTTATAAAGGACATCCATGAAAAGAATGTTATGCTACTGGTAAAAAAATCATTGATATACAATCAACAAACTATGAGAAAATAGGCAAATATTATTGGATTGGAGCGGAATAAATACTTTAAAATGCCATATAAAAGTACAAACACAAAACAAGTGTCTTAATCTTAAATATCATCTCGAATTCAATGATTTTTTCAAACTCTCCCATGTAAAAACACCTTCAGGATGAATATGAACAAAATATTTCACAAATCTCGCATCCGAACATGCCAAAATAGTGCTCAAAGACAGCTTCGGCTTCGCAGCACCTCTCTCCAAAAGCCACAAATACATGGAAAATCTTAAATTAATCCTCTGAATATCATAACACAAATATGAGGGAAATGCCACTACAGCTTCCAAAGGATACCCTAATCGATTCTGCAAACAATCAATCTTTTTCTCAAGTAAATCTTTCGTTTGATTTAACACCGAAGGTGCCCTTTTGATCATACTGGAAACCACATTATAATCAAGTCCAGCTTCCACTAAACAATCAAATCTTTCCTGTAATTGACTCCCTCTTCCCCTAAACTTTCTAAGAGCTTTCGATAATTCATCAGAGTTTTCAATGTACCCCAATCTCAACAAAAAGTTTTTCCTTTCCACAATCGTGTTAGAATCTTGATTATCGATTGTTTTACTATTACTACCCAAATTCACCAATTTCATAGGATCTTTCTTGATTGCTTGACATAATTCATCTTGTTGTAGCTTCAAACTGTTCATTACAGTAATCGGACATTTTAAAGAAGTGGACCCAAGAATTTCCATATGGGTAGTCACGATTCCCGCGATTCTTTCTGTTTCCATTCCGATTTCGGTTAAAAAACAGACAGCTGTCCATAGATTCTTGGCACATTTGGATGATAGAATTTGGGGGTTTTTCAAGAAAAGGTCGTATATTTGGTTCATTTTGAGCCCTAGTTTAAGTAATTGTGCTACAAGGATGTAAATTTGTTTACCTGAGCCTTCAAAGAGTAATGCAGGGTTACCTGTGAATAAAATTTCCATCTGTTTATCGTTGTATCCCACTTGAACAAGAAAACTCATGGTGTCCAGCATTCTGTCCCAATTCAAATTTGTTCTTTCAGAGATATTAGTACCAATCCATTCACTTCCAAATCGGAATCTTTTGAGCTTTTCAAGAACAACAAGAAAGTTATTATCAATAAGTCCGATTAAAAGTGAAGGGCAGCATGTTATGAGTTTGATAACAGTTGATTTACTCAACCCTAATTCCTCATAAGCTTTAAGTTTCTTCAGTAACACTCCATGCTCGTATTCGAATATCTCTTTTGTTTCCTTATACATTTTGCCAATTTTGATTCTGGGAATCCCGTAGCCACAAAGAGCATGGAAATTGTCAAGTAGAAGAGAATCATCTCCTAAAAAGATTAATGATTTGGGAAGTAATGATGGGTACTCAGAAGGGGGTAGACCTAAACTCTCCAAGAAAGGTTCGAATTCATTGATGGGATTATACCGAAAGTACTTTGATAATGCTCGTGATACATCTTGATCGTTGTCAACCACTGATAGCAGGTTTTGGATGAAATTAGGGGAGTTCTTGCTGATGTGTTCTGCATCGGTGAAATGGAAGCCTCTAGTGAAATGTAGATAATCAAAAAGTGCAGTTTGTGCCTCTGTTCTTACCACCCGTGAAATTCGATTTCCACTGACAGGAGCTTGTGATGGATGTGAACAAACGACGCTAGCTTTTACTCGAATTGTGGGTTCTGATATGCAAAAGTTTCGTCTTTTGAATGATACGAAAGATAGCCCGTTTCCAGTACAGGCATTTTTACAAACAGTTGGTGAGCAAAGCAGATGATGCAGTTCAGAAATCATGTCGGAGTTCCAAATTCGACGATTACTTATCCCGCGAATCAGCATAGCAAAGTTCACACTACCCAGAAATAATTCTGTAAAAGAACAAGAGGGTATTCACAAATTTATTCAATGTCTAGCTTTCTCATATGGGTTTTGAGTTAAAAAGTAGGCAAATTCAAATTAATAGAGCACAAAAGCAGTGGAATCAAGATCACTTACATGACATTTTGTTTCTTCAGTTGAATCTCGAAAGTAATGCCCATTAGATTGCGTAATCTGATGAGGTTGCGATGGAGGATTCTCCTAAAGCCCTTCTTTAGGGGTTTTTTTCGGCTTATATTATTGACTAAAGTTACGCACGCACCCTCTACATTATGGTTTACTTTAAAAGACCCCATTACAAAAACCATATTTTGTATTGGACCCCTAACGTTTCTTAATTTAAATTATGACACTAAAAGATTTTCTTTTGAAAACTCATTTGTATTTGTTTGTTGATTATTTTCTACTTTTATTCAATATAAGTGTGATATGGATTACAATACAAACTCACATATTATAAAACTAATAAAAATATAAATCATAAAATTCAAATAACATTTCATTAAAAAAATTTAAAAATAACAAAACTAATAAATAACATCAAAATTTTCAAAAAAAAAAAGAAAAAAAAAACTTCCCAACGGTGTTGGATATGTAGGCATTTGTATTTTGCAATATGTTTCACGAGATTTGATCGAGTGCAATTGATGAAGTTTAATGGATTATCTTATCAAGATTCCAATTTCCATACAACTTTACCATTCTACGATACATTGAATCATTTACTAAAAGCAAATCATCCGTTATAGGCTTGATAAAAGCTTCATTTTTTTAGTTTCTCATTGTCCATGTCTTCTATATTTTCCCAAACGAAACAAACACCCGACAAGAAAATTTACGATCATACATTCACCTTTGACTTTTTTCAACAAAGTCAAATGCATGAAAAAGAAACAGGCTTCACCGAGTGTATTCATTATAACAATCATCACTTATAACAGAAACAAATCTCTCAAGCCAAGGCAGCTGGTCAAGGTCCTTGATAGTGTTATCAAGATACGAGCCACCATCATCTGGCGGCGAAGATGGAGGTTCGTGGTGGTCACCAAGGCTAAAACCACCACCTGCAAGAAATCTTTGAATCAATGCAAGTTGTGATCTTTCTTGATCAGAATAAGCATCTGTCATGTTTGAAAGTGAACCAAAAGACTCCCATGCCCATTCCTCAAACTGCTGTGAAGGGTTGGAACGAGTAGTTGGGGTGAGGGTATTTTCGTCATTTTCTTCTTCTTCTTCTTCTTCTTCTTCTTCTTCCTCTTCCTCTTCACCCCATATTGCACATTCACTTACGTCCATCTCCTCTAACAATGTGTACAAGGCAACGGGAAGAAACACTTTGCATTCAAGGGTAGAAATGTAATTCCTACAGTTCGGGATTGGGCACCTAATGGGAACCTCAAATGACCGAACTTTTTCATCAACATGTGATTTAATACAACAAGAACAGAATTTATGTGAACATTTCAATGTGATCATCATGGGTGTTGGTTTATCTTCACAACAAAGTACACAATTTTCAACCGTTTGATCATCTTTGGTATCATGTACAATCCCGATTGCCACTTTTGCTAGATGCAAAGGGTACTTGAGATTGACATCATGAACATGTTTTAGAACAAAATGTTCAAGATTTTCAACATGTTCAAGTATTTTTTGCTTCAATGCCATGAGAAGTGGATTCTTGAGGGTAGAATCATTTGTAATCTGCCAAAAAACATGGGTTAGATGCGGAAATAGCAATCTACTTTCAATGATTTGTTTATCATTGCCTCCAATTATAGCACTGTACTTTGAAAAATCTATAAACTGTTGCAATGTTATCCAAATACACACCAAATTTCTTTGTTATAATTGGGTAGATTTTTCAAAAAATAATGTCCTTAAGAAAAAAGTTATAGGTAAAATGCTATAATTGGGTAGATTTTTATGCCAAAAAAAACACATCAAAAACAATTGTTCTTAGGCAAAAGAAACTGCTCACCTGATCAAATAAGTTCTGGGAATCGGTAAATGCATATACCCTTTTGATGTTATGCTGAATTGCCTCAGATAGACCATCCATCAAAGCTAAATATTCAGCTACTTCTTCAACAACAAAGAATTCAAGTCTTTTCTGAACCTGAATCGAAGGAACCTTGTTAGGTCGTTCCATGATCACTCCAATTCCAGAAACACCCAATTCATTTCCTGGCTCTGAAATCGATACACCCTTGAAGAACATTCGAACCGAAAATTCATCAAGCTCGTAATCACCATTTTTCGACTCCAAATCCGCAATTTCTTCAAGTTTCTCCTCATCTGAACAACAACTTCGAAATTCATCTTCATCGTCTTCGAATTTCGACACAACTTTATCCTCCATTTCCAGCTGTCAAGTTCGAATTCTGTAAAATGTAAACAGAATCAATCAAAGCAAGTGTAATGATCAGTAACATGGAAAGGATATAGGATTTGAAAACATATAAAGTTTTAGAAAGAAGGGGAAGTAAAGTGAAGCTTCCATACATGTGTAATGATGGATTTGGTACTGAATTCATAAACAAATCGTTAAGCGATCTCTGAATGAATAATTTTTTTTATCTGATTCACAACAAAGCACTGGACTCTGATAATCTGTTTATAATAAGAACCCTAATCTGACAAATCTGTTGCTTGTGGTTACACACAGACCACTTTTACTGTATAATCAATAATAAAACCCCACAAAGAATAAACAAATCAGAAAGTTCAAAATCCGATTTCTCGCGCTGGGGAAAGGAATAGAATCCTCGATTACTGTTGAGTTTTGGCGTAATATGGAAGCGAAATGATATGCTCCATTTTTTTATGGATATGAATATTTACTTCCATACAGTTCAATAACTCATATATATAAATCGCAATATCTTATCTCATTTATGTGAAAATAAGTGACCTCAAATTGTGTTTTGTTATCAAAGTATTAAATTTGTAGCGAATACTAGAAAAAAAAAATTAACAAATTTAATACAAAAGAAAAATAAACGATAGTAACCTCGCCCCCAACATATACCAAAAATACCTATATTTTTTATAAGCTAAACCTATTATTTATGAGAAAAAAAAGGACAACTCTAGTCTTTTTTTTCCTTAAGTTTTGCCAAGAAATAGTTAGATGGGTTTTCTTAGGATATGAGTTGGACTCTTAGAGGAGGCGGAATGATATTGGTAAGATTGGGCAAAAGCCCACACCAACTCGGCATGCTGAGTTCGGTGACTAAACTCGGTAACATCTAGCCGGTGAGAGACAGAGAGAGTGTGTGAGCCATTTACCAATTTCAAAAAACTATTCATTTTTTACCTTTTTTTTTAAATCAAGTTTTACCATTCTTTTCAACTTATATAAATACCACTTACTACCACATTTTATACCATATTACATTATTCTAATTTATATTCAATAAGTCTTCATATTTGTGAAAAAATAGTTTTCCCTTCCAACCCAAGAACTCCAAAAACTAACAAAAAACACCCAAAACACAAACCCAATCTCACATTTATCCAAAATCAAAGTGATCGCCCTACTTATTCACATCCTAATTTCCACTATTTTGGTGCATACTACCTTTATCTTATCCTAAACCAACCACAATTCTAACCCCAATCTCATTCCCAACCACAAATGCAATTTCAATCTCAAGTCTAATCACAACCTTTTATTTGTTATATAAGTATTTGACAAAAATAACCGTAAGCTTTTGAAATATGTAAAATTACATAAAAGAACGATTGTTTAAAAGGGATAAATATGTAAATATATTTTTAAGGGCAATTCTGGGAATTGATTTGCAAGCACAGTAGCGTTTTGTTAAATGACACATGAAATAGCTTTTAAATTTGAAGCGTTTTGTTTAAATTAAAAGTTAAACGCTAGTATTGTCAAGCGAAACTTTTTGTCTAAACTAGAATGTTTTGTCAAAAACTAAAAGTTTCTAACACTCTGTGCTAAAAACGACCATATCCTATAGCCTTACGCCTTAAATATCAATCTTTTTCGGGGCCACTCTGAAATTATGAAACTCACCCCAAACTTCCAAATTAATTGAAATGGTTGTTGTTTTGTGGGTTTGGGGCCTCGTTACCAAAACGATGTTGTCCTGTCTTTTCATCCTTCGTCTTTGTATGAAATTAGGTTTAGCAACTGCAATACAAAGTTATCATTTTGGGTGAGAAATTATGCAAAAAAAAGGGACATAAAAGAGGCAAGTTTGATAATGTGAACCATCTACTTTAACAATATTTACAGATTTTATTATACAAATCTTACATACTTATAAAGCTTGCATTTTCTCTTGAATTTCATGCATTTGAAACCCCCAACAATAATTTGCTAAAACCTCATGCATTTGAAACCCCCCACAATAATTTGTTAAAACCTCATGCATTTGAAACCCCCAAACCTTTTCACCTTCTTAATAATTAATCACACATAATCAATGGTAATTCATATGAGATAATAATTTGCTAAAACCTCATGCATTTGTATGGTATTAAAACATGTTTGAGTTTTTGGGTTTTAGACTTTAGTAAATGGGTAATCCGTTCGATACGTTGGATTTGAAGCTATCTTATTCGAATTACCCAAACTCTTATTTTCCTTATTCAAATGTTACTTCAATGCCAAACAAAAGATAAATTAATAATATATGCTCATGCATATTTTGTACAAGCCCCAATCAAAATACAATATATCATGATCATACAATTAAGTGTTTCTTTTATTCCATTTTTGGCTTTATAACAAAAGTTTGTTTACGTGGCGAAGAAAGAAAACTTGAAGATGGATATTTAGGTTGGATGTTTATATAAGATTTGTTTTAAATATATAATAAGCAACAATTATAAATAATAAAAT